CTGGAGATCATCACTCCCAAGGAGCAACACAACTCCCACGTTTCCGCGGCCACTGCGTTTGCAAGCAGTTGCTGCAGCTGGCCTTGCGGTGGGTCGTTCAATCGGAATGCTCGTCAGGTGCACGTGGAGGAGTGTGCCTCCATCGGCATGGCAATGCTCCATGGGCCGCCGGAGGTGGAAGCAGCGCAGGCGTCGAGGTGAAAACTTCGCATCGCCGCCTGCCAGGTTCGATGTTTGGCCTACTTCCAGCAGGAAATGGCAGACGTCGGCTCCTTTGCGCCGATGGCAGCTGCATCAGGAATGTTGGCCCTGGGTTCCAAAAGTTGTTTTTCTCTTTGTAAGGTATCCGTCGCTGTAACTGGGTTTTTGTGAGGAATCATCCCCCCTATCACTAACCTGGGCTTGATTCATATGGGGTCAACATGAAGCTTCGAGGTGTTCTTCGCCAAGCAACTTTGAGATGGCCATGACCGAGTTTCACATATAGTTTCACCAGGTTTCACTCTGCAGCAGTAAAAAAGGGTGAAGGGCTTGTCTATACCCTTGGCTCAGAAAGGCGCGTGCCGATCAATGGCTTTATGGTGCAGCGCGCCCATGCGCTTCTGTGCCCTGCCCTCTTTAACACCCAATTTCAATGGCTTTCGTGTTGTGGGCAGGTTTAAACAGGTTGGCCGGGGAAGGTTTCTCAGCACAGATGTTAGAGAATTCTATGGCCATTTGCGCGCTAGGCTTCCACCGCGTGCACGGAAGCCTCAGCCGAGAGGATGTGCCCAGGATTTGCGGGATGCGTGCGGAGTGTGTCTTCCCCGTTCTCTTTGTGTGCATCGAGCGCTGTGCTTGTTTGCGAGGGCAGTAGTGGGGAAATGGGCGGACGAGTGGGCGATTGGATGAGTAGAGCCAGCTGGTCTTTTGCAAAGCACTGCAATTTGGGCCAAGCACCTTTGTTTTTCTGTGTGTCTTACGTTCAGCGCCTTTCCTGGAATGTATTTCATTCCTTACGTGGTTATCGGCACCTGCGAAGTGCCAGGCTTTGATTGTGACTCATATGGACGACTTAAGCCCCCTTTGCCACACCCCGAGAGTGACCCTAAATCCATTCGTCAGGAAACTTAGGGTAGCTGCTTGCTTGGATTCAGCGGACTAATCAATGAATTCTTGAGCTCGTCTCTATGTAGGAACCGTTGTGCATACCCCTGTTTTCACTCTCTATTTCCCTGGCTTGATATTGAGTATATACCCGGATGAACAACAGCAAGCCATAGCAAGCCTTTCAACTTTCGAGATTGTTGCCCAACTATGTAAATAGGGCAGGAGGTGTTTGGCACGGCCTGAAACGTAGACGCACGCCCTTTACATTTCAATCAAATGGTATGCGCCCTTGGCATGGTCTTGGGCACTCGTGGCCCATACAGTTTTGCGTGGATAAACAGGACAGTTGCAAGAGAGAATTTGCGGATTCGCACATGTGTGTCATGGCTAAAGGACTCGTTTTCTTGGAGTTGGTAGAGAGGGTCATCAATCGATTTTATGTTTTTAGACAACTCTTGCAACTTATTTGAAGGAAGTGACCCGCACGCGGCCTTTTGACCATGGCATGTATGTAGAGGGGGGCGGATTGCATGTTCGAATGGCCCGATTTTGTACTTTACCATCGTTCCCTAGGTTGGCAAGTAAGACACGTGCGTGAGCATGTTCTTGGTTGAGTAAGTGGCGTGTTCTTGCTGGGATTCCTTGGGAAAAAGCTTTGAAACCAAGAGTTCGCTGAGCTTGCAGCGCCCCTTGACGACCTTTCGCACATTTCTCTAGCTGAAACAAAGCCACGAATGAACTTGTATACTTGCATATCCCATATTGACTGATGTAAGGCCTGATAGGTTTGCATCCATGTGTAATCCGCGCCTGTGAGACAAACTGGATATGACATTTCATTAGTGGCAAGCTTCCCGGGTCTCATATCTGATGCCGGAACCCAATGCTCGCCAGGTTTGCTTTACAGCCAGTTCAGCGAGAAGATCATGCTATCGAAAAAAGCAAATGCATGCACCGGGCCTGAGTTTTTAGAGCGATTGGGCACCGGGCCTCTATGACAACTATGACGAGCATGTAAACAAAGCCAGGATCTTTTCTTTAAAAAAAGAAGAAATCCAACCCCCGATTTTGAGCTCGGATGCAGTCAAGAGACTATTGAAGATAATGCAGCCTTCTCCGTCTCTTCTCATTCTCACCGGAGCACGGCTCAATTGAGCACGCCAAAGTTTGACATGCTAGAGGCTCCCGAATATTGTGCGATCATCCGAGTGCAGATTGTCGCGAACCGTGGTGCTTTCCAACCTTTCCATTTGGCAGCTGCAATCAGGGCTCCCATGAAGTCCTCGCCACGATAAGTTACAGCTGTCGATCATTTCAAAGCGTTGTTTTTTATACGTCGACGGTGCAGATGTACCGTAGCTGGCGCTGCAGCGAACAGCAGATCCCATCATTCATGCCAGAACGGGTGCCATTGGAACCACTTCCATGTGGCATGTACGCGGCGTGTGACATATCTCGGCACACTTTCGGTTTGCGAGATAGCAAGCTGGCACCAGACATATCTCCACCTTCGCGTAATGTGATGTGGCATCTCATGGTCACATGGAGTTGGTTCTGTTCACACACCAGATTCTTGTGCCAAATCAATGGTTCGCTGGCCATAAACACCCCGTCACAGCAAGGAAAAATCGAGTTGCGTTGTTACATGTTGCAGGTTTCAGATACCTCCGCTTTGCCTCGTGCGGCGAGAGAGGGCTCACGGTGGAAAGGACTGCAACCAGGGTTGTTTACATATGTGCTGGATCTAGGCACTCTACACGGCTAGGGTTGCCATCCGGAGAGTTGCTAAGCGACGCCAGGCCAAGAAGATATTTGTTACAGATACTACGTAATCCTCTACCCTTCCGCAGCCCCAGCTGCATATAAGATGACCCGGGTTCTGCCAGGGTTGCCACTATAGATAAACTTCAAGGTTCGCCGCTACAACAAGGGCCACTACCACAAACACGGAACTGTCAGACGGTTGTTGCCAAATGGCCCGCCGCCAGATCTAGAGGGTTGGGCAAAGCGCCGCAACTTCTCGCATAGGCTAGCTGGAAACCTCGACTGGGCGCGTCGCGCCGTGGCAATGGTGCCCTGGGCAAGACGGATTTGCTTCTCCAGGCAGAAAAGGGATCAGAACAAGCAATAGGGTTACACCGCCGACAAATATGCAACCTATTAGTGGGAGAGTTGCTAACCGTTGCCAGGCCAAGAGGATCTTTCTTAGCAGAATTGTTGAACATTGTTGAACTACATAACCTAAGACTTTGTGACTTGGAGGTGGGCCCCGAATTACGGTGTGAGAAAAGAACATTATTGTTGAACATTGTTGAACTACATAACGTAAGACTTTGTGACTTGGAGGTGGGCCCCGAATTACGGTGTGAGAAAAGAACATTATTGTTGAACATTGTTGAACTACATAACCTAAGACTTTGACTTGGAGGTGGGCCCCGAATAACGGTGTGAGAAAAGAACATCATTGTTGAACACTGTTGAACTATATATAACCTAAGACTTTGACTTGGAGGTGGGCCCCGAATTACGGTGTGAGACCAGAACATCATTGTTGAACACTGTTGAACTACATAACCCAAGACTTTGACTTGGAGGTGGGCCCCGAATTACGGTGTGAGAAAAGAACATCCTTGTTGAACATTGTTAAACTACATAACCTAAGACTTTGACTTGGAGGTGGGCCCCGAATTACGGTGTGAGAAAAGAGCATCATTGTTGAACATTGTTGAACTACAGAACCTAAGACTTTGACTTGGAGGTGGGCTTGAACTACGGTGTGAGAAAGGAACAGACATGTTGAACATGATCTAACTACATAACCCAAGACTTTGACTCGGAGGTGGGCCCCGAATTACAGCGTCAGAAAAGAACAGACATGTTGAACATGATCTAACTATACGTAACCTAAGACTTTGACTTGGAGATGGGCCCCGAACTACAGTGTGAGAAAAGAACATACTTGTTGAACATGTTTGAACTACAGAACCTGAGACTTTGACTTGGAGGTGGGCCCCGAATTACAGTTTGAGAAAAGAACATAATTGTTGAACATGTTTGAACTACATATCCTAAGACTTTGACTTGGAGGTTGGCCCCGAATAACGGTATAAGAAAAGAACATCATTGTTAATCATTGTTGAACTACAAACCTAAGACTTTGACTTGGAGGTGGGCCCCGAATTTCGGTGTGAGAAAAGAGCATGACTGTTGAACATGATCTAACTACGTAACCTAAGACTTTGACTTGGAGATGTGCGCCGAACTACGGTGTGAGAAAAGAACATAATTGTTGAACATGAACTATCTACATAGCCTAAGACTTTGACTCGAAGGTTTGCCCCGAATGACGGTGTGAGAAAATAACATACGTGTTGAACATGTTTGAACTACATCACCTAAGACTTTGACTTGGAGGTGGGCCCCGAAATACGGCGTCAGAAAAGCAAACACATGTTGAACCTGATCTTACTACATAACCTAAGACTTTGCCAGCAGAGTACTTTGCCAGAGCGGGCTTTATGCTAGTAAAGTCCTTTGCCAGAGCGTGGTCTTTCTGGTAGCCGAGAACTTTGCCAGAGCGGGACTTTTTGCTAGCAGAGTACTTTGGCAGAGTACTTTGCCAGAGTGCGGGGCTTTATGCTAGCAAAGTACTTTGCCAGAGTGGAGAAGGGGGGGGCTTTATGCTAGCAGAGTACTTTGCCAGAGCGGAGGGGCTTTATGCTAGCAAAGTCCTTTGCCAGAGCGCGGGGGTTTATGCTAGCAAAGTACTTTGACAGAGCGGGGGGCTTTATGCTAGCAAAGTACTTTGCCAAACCGGGGGGCTTTATGCTAGCCGAGTACTTTGCCAGAGCGGGCATTGCCAGAGCGGGGGGCTTTATGCTAGCAGAGTACTTTGCCAGAGCGGGGGCGTTATGCTAGCAAAGTGCTTGGCCAGAGCGGGGGCCTTTATGCTAGCAAAGTCCTTTGCCAGAGCGGGGGGGGGCTTTATGCTAGCAGAGTACTTTGCCAGAGCGGTGGTCTTTATGCTAGCAGAGTACTTTGTCAGAGCGGGGGGCTGTATGCTACCAGAGTACTTTGGCACAACGGGGGGCTTCATGCTAGAAGGGTACTTTGCCAGAGCGGGGGGCTTTCTGCTAGCAGAGTACTTTGCCAGAGCGGGGGGCTTTATGCTAGCCGAGTACTTTGCCAGAGCGGGGGGCTTTATGCTAGCACAGTACTTTGCCAGAGCGGGGGGCTTTACGCTAGCAGAGGACTTTGCCACAGCGGGGAGCTTTATGCTAGCAGAGTACTTTGCCAGAGCGGACGGCTTCATGCTAGCAGAGTACTTTGCCTGAGCGGGGGGCTGTATGCTAGCAGAGTACTTTGCCAGAGCGGGGGGGCTTTATGCTAGCAGAGTACTTTGCCAGAGCGGGGGCTTTATGCTAGCAGAGTACTTTGCCAGAGCGAGGGGCTGTATGCTAGCAGAGTACTTTGCCAGAGCGGTGAACTTTATGCTAGCAGAGTACTTTGCCAGAGCCGGGGGCTTTGTGCTAGCAGAGTACTTTGCCAGAGCGGGGGGGCTTTATGCTAGCAGAGTACTTTGCCAGAGCGGGGGGCTTCATGCTAGCAGCGTACTTTGCCAGAGCGGGGGGCTTTATGCTAGCAAACTACTTTGCCAGAGCGGGGGGCTTTATGCTAGCAAACTACTTTGCCAGAGCGGGGGGCTTTACGCTAGCAGAGTACTTTGCCAGAGCGGGGGGCTTCATGCTTGCAGAGTACTTTGCCACAGCGGAGAGCTTTATGCTAGCAGAGTACTTTGCCAGAGCGGGTGCTTTATGCTTGCAGAGTACTTTGTTAGAGCGGGGCTCTTTCTGTTGGCAGAGTACTTTGCCAGAGCGGGGGGCTTTATGCTAGCAAAGTACTTTGCCAGACCGGGGGGCTTTATGCTAGAAGGGTACTTTGCCAGAGCGGGGGGCTTTATGCTAGCAGAGCTGTTTGTCAAAGCGGGGGGCTTTATGCTAGCAGAGTACTTTGCCAGAGCGAGGGGCTGTATGCTATCAGAGTACTTTGCCAGAGCGGGGGGCTTTGCTAGCAGAGTACTTTGCCACAGCGGGGGGCTTTATGCTAGCAGAGTACTTTGTCAGAGCGGGGGGCTTGATGCTAGCAAAGTACTTTGCCTGAGCGGGGGGCTTTGTGCTAGCAGAGTACTTTGCCAGAGCGGGGGGCTTTATGCTAGCAGAGTACTTTGCCAGAGCGGGGGGCTTTATGCTAGCCGAGTACTTTGCCAGAGGGAGGGGCTTTATGCTAGCAGAGCACTTTGCCAGAGGGGGGCTTCATGCTAGCACAGATGTTTGCAGAGTACTTTGCCAGACCGGGGGGCTTCATGCTAGCAGAGTACTTTGCCAGAGCGGTGGGCTTTATGCTAGCAGAGTACTTTGCCAAAGCGAGGGGCTTTATGCTAGCAGAGTACTTTGTCAGAGCGGTGGGCTTTATGCTAGCAGAGTACTTTGCCAGAGCCGGGGGCTTTGTGCTAGCAGAGTACTTTGCCAGAGCGGGGGGGCTTTATGCTAGCAGAGCACTTTGCCAGAGCGGGGGGGCTTTCTGCTAGCAGAGTACTTTGCCAGAGCGGGGGGCTTTATGCTAGCCGAGTACTTTGCCAGAGCGGGGGGCTTTATGCTAGCACAGTACTTTGCCAGAGCGGGGGGCTTTGCTAGCAGAGTACTTTGCCACAGCGGGGAGCTTTATGCTAGCAGAGTACTTTGCCAGAGCGGACGGCTTCATGCTAGCAGAGTACTTTGCCAGAGCGGGCCTTTATGCTAGCCGAGTACTTTGCCAGAGCGGGGGATTTCATGCTAGCAGAGTACTTTGTCAGAGGGGGGGCTTTATGCTAGCAGAGTACTTTGCCAGAGCGGGGGGCTTTATGCTAGCAGAGTACTTTGCCAGAGCGGGGGGGCTTTATGCTAGCAGCGTACTTTGCCAGAGCGGGGGCTTTATGCTAGCAGAGTACTTTGCCGCTGTATGCTAGCAGAGTACTTTGCCAGAGCAGGGGGGCTTCATGCTAGCCGAGTACTTTGCCAGAGCGAGGGGCTTTATGCTAGCAGAGTACTACTTTGCCAGAGCGGGGGGCTTAATGCTAGCAGCGTACGTTGCTAGAGCGGGGAGCTTTATGCTAGCAGAGTACTTTGCCAGAGGGAGGGGCTTTATGCTAGCAGAGTACTTTGTCAGACCGGGGGTCTTTATGCTGGCAGAATACTTTGCCAGAGCGGGGGTCTTTGTGCTAGCAGAGTACTTTGCCAGAGCGGCGGGCTATATGCTAGCAGAGTACTTTGCCAGAGCGGGGGGGGCTTTATGCTAGCAGACTACTTTGCCAGAGCGGGGGGCTTTATACCTACCTAAGGGGACCCCCCAGTTGGATAAAATCCCCTCAACCGACCAATTCACGTAATATTGTTTCATCATTTCATAACAGAACCTCAACTCAAGATTTGATACATAAATTTTGTAAATATTTTCTAAATTTTTTAAAAATATTATTTTACAAAATTATCATTTTCCCAAGAAATATAAATCATAAATTTTACAATATTCTTATTGTAAAGTTTATGGTTAAAATTTAAATCATATTATTTCATAATTTGAATAATTGCAGAATTCCTCACGGAATATGCTGAAATGAAATAATTTTCCAGAAATGGTAATTCACCTACAATTTGAAAAACTTTGTCCTTCACTTCCTCCATTTCCTTTTTGACCTCTGGTGCTACTGGAGGTGTTGAATTTTCAATTTCATTAGGTTTTTCTTCCTCAACTGTTGTTTTTACTTTATTCTCATTCTCAATATGCTTCAACGTTTTCAAATGCTTGGATATTGCAGATTTCCTCACTTTACACTGGCAAATATCACATTCTATTTCAATCTGATTACGCACTTTACTATATTCCTTTTTCTTTTCCTTCCTATCAATTTTACTTTGTTCTCGGCAGTAATCACAAATATGCACTCTAACATTAAATAGGTCAGGTGGATAAGTGTTTTCACATCGCCTACATTTTTGCATTTTGTCAGTCATCTCCATGCTACTATTGATAGGTGGCATGTCTTTAAGACCAGACCATCTTAAAAATCCAAAATCCCAAATTCCCCAAATATATTTTTCCAAAATCCCAAAATATAAAATCCCCATAATTTCAAAACATAAATCTTACAATGTTTTTTATTGTAAGGTTTATGGGTAAAAAAACAAGTCAGGCAATATTAATGGAGGAGGAAATGACCTGCCCTCCATTTTCGGGGCACCCTGCTTGCCTGCCCACCATTTGGGAAGCACCCTGCCCACCATTTGGGAAGCACCCTGCCCACCATTTGGGAAGCACCCTGCCCACCATTTGGGAAGCACCCTGCCCACCATTTGGGAAGCACCCTGCCCACCATTTGGGAAGCACCCTGCCCACCATTTGGGAAGCACCCTGCTTGCCTGCCCACCATTTGGGAAGCACCCTGCTTGCCTGCCCACCATTTGGGAAGCACCCTGCCCACCATTTGGGAAGCACCCTGCCCACCATTTGGGAAGCACCCTGCCCACCATTTGGGAAGCACCCTTTCAACAACAATCCCAAACTCGTTTCCTTAGTCCACCAAACTCGTCAAAATCTCACAAATCAATTCAGCAGGTATTTTGTATAAATCTTCCTGCTTATGTATTACATAATTATCTCCCCATTCTGCTTTAGTTTTTGATGGCAGTCGTTGCGCAGTTTCAATATGTTTATTATTCCTTATTTTTCCACAATCTCTATTACATAAATCTCTAGGTGTCCAATTCGTAATGTTATTCCAAAGTCTAGTGCGTTTTCTGTAATTAAATCCATATTTGCAATAATCAACATCTTCAAAATCAAACTCATTCATAAACTCCTGACTTTTTAATAATCCAGTTTGAGGATTTTCGATTACAAAATATGTTGGATTAAAATATTTGATAATCTCAATAGTTTTTGAGACTATACTATTAGCATATTCAATATTCCTAATTCCCCTAGTTTTTGCTACACTATATTTAGTGCACGGGGGACTGCTCCAAATAAAATCAAAATGGTTTCTGTCAAATTGTTTATAATCCCATTCCAAAATATCACAATTAATATCAGCATTTTTCAAGTCTAATGAGATGACATTAAAACCTAATGACTTTGCTATGGTTCCTACACTTCCAGTTCCACTAAATAATTCTAATAAATTCATATTGTTTATTAGAATGATTTAGATAATGTTTTAGAAATATACATATTTATCATCTTCCTTAATAATCTTATAGTATTCTAATGTTTGTTCTTTTGGACTTTTGATTTGTCCCTTATTTAACATATCACAATATGTTTTACGCTTCGTGTCATAATCACCGCTGGGTCTGCCTATCCCTTTCTTTTCAAAAATTTTATCAATATTTTCCTTCTCTTCATTGTTATTTTTTGGTTCGTTTGCCTTTGCATCAAGTTTCTGGTCAATAGTTTTTATCATCTCGTGCAACAATTTAACATTTTTACTAACTGTCATTATTTTCTTTGATAGTTCAGCAATAGCATCATTCTCAACTTCAGACATTTCTATATATATTTATTTATATAATTATTTATTTAAATATTTATTTATGCGTTTTATTATACAGTTTACCTGAATAATCTAATGTTATATATGTAAATAAATTATATTCTAACAGTCTTTCACCAATTTTATTTTTCATTTTTATTAAACCTTCCTCGTCACCTGTAATTTCAATAAAATTCAATATTTTATCAAATTTATCCGGTTTAGTTATACCTTTCATAAAATATTTATCACTGAATTTAGCATCAAACCAATAAAAATATTCTTCGCTCAATTGTTTAGCAAAGTTTTCATCACCATTGAATAGGTCTTTAATTTCTTCATCGTCAAAAGTTATAACTCTATGGTCTTCTCTATTCATAGTTGGCATTGTGATTATACAAATAATTAGATATTTATTTAATTATTTATTTATTTATAAAATTGATTTAATGTAAAATCTACTCTTTAAATACTAAATGTTCATCATTTGTTTAATAGTTTCCTGTGCTTCGTTATCACCATTATCGGATGGTGATGCATGCCTTCCCCATTTAAAAGTTATATTATGGACATCAGTTTCTAAGTTGATACTGTCTTTAGTTTTATCAATATTCATTTTCTTATCGTTTTTACTCAATTTGAAATTTGTCGGAATACACGAACATTTACAATTTCCTTTCTTTTGAATTTCTAATTCGTTCTTCATTGCTAACATCTTTCTACACATAGGACACTCAAACTCAATAACTGATGTTTCTTTAACATTTT